CTATTCTCTTCATAAAATAAAAATTGTAATTTCTTACATTCAAATAACCCTATGAACCAAAAGTTTCTATGTACATATGTTGAAATGTCTAGTTATCACATAACTTTACAAGTAAAATGTATAGACTCTTCTTACCAAATACATGGGAGCCATTTTCAGTATTTCTCTTAAGAAGAATACATATAATTTAAATGTTGCTGGAAGGCACCTTAAAAGGTAATATGGTCTACTTCATTGCCTTTGGGTTCACTTATCTATGACAAGTCCCTGTTGATGCTATTTCCATTCCAGCATCTATGACCTTAGCAGTCAAGATGCTTTTTTTTAATTTTTTATAAATGCTTCCTTTCCTGTTCTAAGTTCATTTGGAATGGACGTGGGAGTGGGGTTCTTAGAAAGAAATAACATCTTCCCAGTATTCTTTTTATTTGAGAAAAATGTTTTAACCTACTCTCATTTACATTTAGACTTGGAAGGTATTTTAGACCCTGTACATCTTCATTTTAAAGGTGAGGAAATTGAGGCCCAGAGTCATTATAGAGATTTGCTTAAATGTCAGAGCTATCACTGGAGAATTCAGACCTCCTAACTTACCTTCTAGGGTTATTGCTATCGGTTTTTCTACCTGTTTTTTTGTTTTGTTTTGTTTTTGAGAATTAAGACCACTATCCAAACTGGATACTTTTTATTCTATTTTCTGGCCCTTGCATATTGTAGTCCTTTGTGTATACACTAGCATCATGCTTACAAGGGTGTGTGTATGTGTGTGTACTGTAAAGCAACAACATATTACTAGCTGAATTCAATATATGACTCCCAGGTATTTCAGTTCTTGGCTTTTACTTGATTAGTTCTCTGTGTTTTCCTAGAAAGTTGAATTTGACCTAATAAAATTGTCTCTTAGCCCAGCTGGCGTGGCTCAGTGGTTGAGCGTCAACCTATGAACCAGGAGGTCATGGTTCAATTCCTGGTTAGGGTATATGCCCGGTGGCGGGCTCGGTCCCCCGTGGGGAGCATGCAGGAGGCAGCCAATTGGTGATTCTCTCTCATCACTGATGTTTCTATCTCTTCTATCTCTCTCTCCCTCTCCCTTCCTCTCTGAAATCCATAAAAATATATATTAAAAATATCTCTTTAAAAAAAGATTTTGAAAAAATAAATTGGCTCTTTTTCTCGTAAGTGGCTTCAGATTCTTGGTTCTAATATCTTTCCATGAATCTGTGGTTAACTGATTAGTGTCTGTCAAGAAAAAATCTCTCTCTACCTTCTGCCCTTAAAACATATATAGAATGTACAAATATTTTCTATTTTGAAATTTCTCTTTTCTTTTTTGATATATCAGAAATTAATGCTTAGAAGGTTTTTATGACATTTGCCAGGCCTTATGGCAAATGCATGCCTCTTTCAAAATGCATGCCACAGACTTAGAAACTTTTATATATTATTTATTTTTTTAAATATATTTTTACTGATTTCAGAGAGGAAGAGAGAGATAGAAATATCAATGATGAGAGAATCATTGATTGGCTGCCTCCTCCACACTAGGGATCGAGCCTGCAACCTGGGCATGTGCCCTGACAGGGAATCGAACTGTGACCTCCTAGTTCATAGGTTGATGCTCAACCACTGAGCCACACCAGCTGGGCTATATATGATTGGAAAAAACAATCTCTAGCTTTTTAGTCTAACTTTTTTTTGTTAACCTGGAATTTTGTGATGTCAAATGTGGCTTCCTTAACTGCTTTTTCCCCTTTTAGTTATATCTATGATATCCCCCATCACTGTTAGATCTTTACATGTAGCTCTTTTGCTCAGTTGTAATGTGTATTCAGGGACAGGTGTGATACAAATGCCATAATTGTATTTATGGCAAAGAGACTTTAATTTTAGACTCTAGAAATTAATTTCAAAGTCATTGGGATGTAAGAATAGTCTGTAATGAATAACCCCTTTGAATTTGGTACATGTGTAAAGTGTTAGTGGTTAGACTGTTTTAAATTTTAGAAGGGTTAGGGGATGGCAGTGAGGGAAAAAAGAGAAATAAAAACAAGGAAACACAGTGGAAAGCAGGTTTTTATTCTTGTGATTCATTATCTGCCATCACTGCTTCCTTTCTTCTCCACAGAATGATGTGGTAGAAATTGATAGAAATGTATTATTGCAGTTAGGATGAATAAATCTAGAAATCTAATGTACTACATGATGACTATACTATATAATAAAGAGGTAATATGCAAATTAACCCCCACGCCCTCACAAGATGACTGCCTATGACCAGGCTGGCTGGGGGGTTAGTGAGGGATGACCAAACGACTGAACAAGCAGGCTGTGTGGGGTGACCAGGCCAGCAGGGGGGGCAGTTGGGGGTGATTAGGCTGCAGGAGGAGAGCAGTGAGGGGCAACCAAGCAGGCAGGCAGGTGTGCGATTAGAAGCCAGCGGTCCAGGATTGTGAGAGGGATGTCTGACAGTTGGACATCTCCCGAGGGGCCCTGGATTGGAGAGGGTGCAGGCTGGGCTGAGGGGACCCCCCGCCCATGCACAAATTTTGTGCACTGGGCCTCTAGTAGTTAATAATACTGTATTGAACACTTGAAATTTGCTAAGAGTAGATTTTAGGTGCTCTTACCACACACAAACAAATGGTAGCTGTGTGAGGAGATAATATGTTAATTAGCCTGACTAGTTGTTATTTCACTATGTATATATATCATATCATCATGTCATACATATTAAATATATACAATTTTTATTTAAAAAAATAAATAGAGGTCTTCACCCTCAGGGAAAAAAAGACACGTGTATAAGATGTTTCTGAGAATGCTACTTGCAAGTGAAGTAAAGAACAGCCTTATTTCAGTGAATGGATGTGATCACCATGCTATAATGCATATAAAATTATTTGAAGACATATGTAAGATATTTCTAAGAATGCTACTTGTGGGAGAAGATGAGAACAGTGTTATTATAGTGAATGAAGGTGATTGCCACACTTTAAGGCATTTAAAACAGTGGTTAAAGACACATGCATCCAAGATGTTTTTGAGAATTCTACTTGCATGAGAAGTTGAGAACAGTGTTTTTTCACTGAATGATTATGCTCACCACACAAGAATGTGAATAAAACAGTGTTTAAATACAAAAGAAGAAATTAATGAGATACCTATTTAATTCTTAAAGCCTTAATAAGCAGAATTTAATATAGGGTGTATACAAAGCTTTTTGCAAAATCACTTCTCTTGCCAGATGGGAGGATATCGTGGAAGCCAGAGAGTATTATGGAAAAATTGGACCAGTTTAGAATATTACTGCCATCTAATTCCAAGGATAGCTGTTCATTCTGCTATCCTCTCCACTTTTTTTGGGGGGGGGGTGGAGTATACAAATAAATTTATTTATTCTTAAATGTAGCAGCCCATGTAAGATGCCTGTCAGTAGCTTTAAATAAACCAGAGTCTATTGTGTCATTAAAAATAATAACAAAAGAATAATCCTTGAAATTTTCTGCTGAGTACTTTTTTGAGATATAATTCACATACCATAAAATTCACACTTTTAAAGCATCCAATTCCTGGTGGTTGTTTTTCTTTTTTTAAAAAACAAACAAAAAAAAACAAAACCCACATTCACAGATTTGTGCAACCATCACCACTCTCTAATTGCCAAACATATCGTCACCCCTAAAAGAAAGCCTGAACTCATCCTCCCTTTTCAAATAGAAACATTAGAACCAAAGAATTTGCTTTATAATCTACTTATATAAAAACCATGGGTGGTGTTCATCACATACAGATGAACAGCTGCGACTGAGCGGAAGGAAGTCAGTCCTACAGGGGTTGTCTTGGCAATGGCTGCACCCTCCCCCAAGCTGTTTCCCGGAGCTGTTTCCTGTAAGGGCGGGGTTTGAGGCAGGAACCCGCCCTGGGAGCATGGAGGCAGATCTTTCTAAAGTGTGCCGCACCAGCACTGGGTGAACCTGAGTGGGGCGGCTTGAAAGGCTTAGAAAAGACAGACAAGAGAATGAAAGCTGGGTCTTGATGGGATGCTGCTTCTCTGAGAGACAGTGACCACGCCACAGCCACACCTTTATTTTATAGCAGATGCTAGGAGGCAAAGTAAGGGCGTGACCAAGATATTTACAAACATTCTCCTGGGTTTCAATCCTACTCAACTACATGCACCTGAACTCTATCAAGCCCACATCACTCAGGCACGTGGGGCCACATGTTCAGACCATAGGTTCAAGCTTACAACTACAGCTGTTGG